CTGTGTGATTAGTTTACATACTTACACCCACCTAGTTTATTTTTCTTCCTAAGCAGGAATAAGCTATACCAGAACAAGGAATTATATTCAGTGATAGAACTACTCTAAAAGCCTCCATTACTTCTACAAGGAAAGCAACACCATCCTTTAGCATAAGCATGTTCTGAGTAAGATACAATGCACGAAAAGATGTAGGAATAAGAAGCTTGCCCCAAGAAATAAAAATTTTGGCCCCTACTTTTTGTGTTTGTATTCATGCCACATTTGAAACCACCCCTCTGCATAAGTGGTTGCACATGTTTGACACACATTCTGCAACTGCTTTCTTGAGAATCAGAGGGACTTAAACTCTTACTTCTCCCATAGACATAAAGAAAAAAGCCAAACAGTGAGGTAATCAAAGTGAAGGAAGGTTACATGGCAATTCTGTAAATCCTTTTTATATCTGCCACCTTGCTTACATACCTTACAGATACTTATAGCTGAACTATGTCTAAGTTACAGTGCAAGTAACTTTGGGTAAACAGCATACCTGTCATGAAGACCCTGGAACACCTTCAGCACCCTATACTAGCAGTTGTAATGTAATTTGTGTAATACCCATCTCTTTCCTTCATTTTAAATTGTTCATTACATTTCAGATTTGTTTTGTACTTTCTACTCAGATAAAGTCCTAATAGTATACCTCATCAAGGACTGGGAGTAAGCTGTGCAATTTATGATCAATTCTGGCTGGTTCAAAGAACAGCCTAATAGACTCAAGCAAACGTAAGTATTAAAAGAAGATTCACTGACAAAGTATTTCATTACTGTCATTACAACTACAGAGTGATGACTCATGCCATTGAAGAGGTAGAATGTGTACAGGGGTAGATAAGAAATGTCAAGAAAGAGAGTTAAACAAGGTTACGTATGGGATTACATCTGTATCCTATTTGAAGACAGACACTACTTCTTTTGTATTGTTTCTAAAGATTTGGGATGAGCCTGCCTTACTTAAGCCACATGTCCCAGAATTTGCTTTCCCTCAAAACATGTGTGCAGATGGGAGGATTAAAGAGCAGCTTTCTGCACTGGGATATTCTAATAATAGAAGTCATACATGATGATCTTGCTGCCAACAGCAAAGAGATGCTAGCAGCACCACTCATTACGGCTGCACTGTATCAAGAATGCCTTTGCCTTAAAACAAACTATTATTCAAGGAACTTGATGTTACTATCTTAACTGTTTTTCCATCTTCCCTTCAGTTAGTAAGAAGTCCCTAAGATGGAGGGAAACGCCACTCTCGGTAATTATCCATACTGCTGTGCAGTGCACTTTACCCAACTTCAGGTAAAGCCTTTTCCAGCTGTGCAAACAAGACCTCCCTTTTAAACTCTAACATGTTTTAAAAAGCCTTTTAAGAGAGATATAGTAGGAACACACTTCTGTTCTCAGATTTCTGCAGGTTCAGTTTGGACTCAGGCAATCCTGTAGCTCAGATTCACTGGCAAAGGCAAACCGCTTTCAACCATGTAGATTGAGTCAGAAGAGACCAAGAAACTTTTTTTTTTTTAATATGCTTGTATGCTCCCAAGCATCTGATCAAGATGTGAGATTTTGTCTAATGTTGCTACACACACTAAACAAACACCAAAAGACACCATTCTTTAATAATGCTTCAATATAATTTCTTCAAAAGGTAGCGAACACCCTTCTAGTCATCAATAGGTGTCAAGTAATTACTTTTAGTTCAAAGTAAAGTCCTAAGTATTTTAAGAGTTATCAGCTCCCTTTATTCCTCCCTCCCTCACTTAAAGATACACTGGAAGTGCAAGACAAATCCAGTCTCAAATTCACATCATTAGTCTATCCTGACATTCCTCAGATAAGTTCAGTCTTTAGGTAATTCCACAGGTTTTGGAAAAAATGTTTCTCTACATTAGCTGTCGTCACTTCATTATAAAGTTAGCAACCACTGCTACAGAACATCCCTAAAAATATTCCAAAGTCCTATTAAGTTGGTAGTGAATAAGGCAGGCATACCTTAATACAGTAACAGCTCAACAAGTTAACGCATAACAGCAGCAGGTAGCAGAATACAAATCAGTGAAGAAGTGAAGAAGATGAAAGCAGCAGCCCACAAGACTTACACTTAATCTAGTTTTACACTGATGACATACAAAAACATTTTTCCAACTACAAGCAACCTGGAGGTTTTTTGCCAGTGTCAGTATGCTCATTCCACAGGCTGAGTACCAGTTCAGTCAAGGCCACATGAAAATTGACTATCATCTGGAAAGTCTCACCCATACAGACATAAGTGTTTGGTACAACTTGCCTCAAAGAAGTTCTGTGAGCTAAACTATGTTTGTAATCAGAATTCAGAGATCAGATACATTGGCATATCAGTAAGGCTACATGGTAGAAGTAGTTTACTGTAGAAATTTATATGAGAAGAAAAACACTAAGATGAGGGAAAATACCTATAAAGTATGAAACTCAAGAGATCAGAAACATGCAGAGATGAAAAAGCACAAAAGTCTACAAGGAAAGCAAGAACATCTGCTGGGAATCTTACGGGGCAGGGAAAGCAGAGTTTAAGCTCAGTATATTAGCATAAGAGATGAAGGGACTTGATACAGCAGAGAAAAATAGTTTTCACCCCTGTGGTATTCTTATCTTTAAGAACATAGAAATATTTTTTGTATCAATAGGCCAATGTGAAAATACAAGCCAACTGAGGGAGCACATGGGAAGGGACAGGGAAACAAGCAATAAAATGGAATAGTCAGTCCATGGCGGAGCCAGTGACACAGACTTAACAGGAGTTCTCATTCTGCAGCCAGATGCTGCATCTAACCCACTAAAGGAGCCCATGATTACCTAAATCTACATCACACACACCAGATACGTTACTTACCTTTGGGTCCATCCTCCAAAGACTGACAATAAACCAGATAAAAGACTAACACCAATTGTGGCACCTGCCTTCAATCTTGCTCTTGCACATCCCAGTGACACATTATGTAACTTGGCACCAATAAAGGAACACAGAAAGCAATCAACCACCCAAGCAGGAACCAGTTGTCTAAGTCCAAATCTATTCACGGACTGAAAAACAACAAGCTTCACATCTAAATCCCTTACAAACTCCTGCACCTGCATGATCTGAAGCAAAGAAAACATATCAGTCAGGGGATGATCCCCATTGGTAAAGTTCAAGAATTAAAGATAACGTGAGAAAAAGAAAACAGACCTGCAAACCTGCTCCCTTTTTTTCTTTAGTTATTCTGAATTAGTTCCAGGATTTGTAAAGATATTTCTGTTTACTTCTCCCATGAGAAATGCAAGTTAATCCATTAAAAAGAAAACAAACAAAAGTATTACAGAACGACTGACCCATACTACTTAAAACTCTGGAAATACAGAGCACTTGTCATGGTTGCAGTTCATTCCAGAACATAACCAGCACTGGAAGAAAAAGTAACTATTGCTTCCTTAATCCCTAATCTTCAGTGAGCATACAAATTTTCTAGCCAGTCAGCCAGCAGAACAAGCTCTAAGCAATGTCTAATTTTAAAAGACTAATCAGCTAAATCAGTAAAAAAAAAAAAGAAGAAACAGTACAAGGAAACAGAAACCTACAAAGCTTTTGCTGTTCATCATCATAGCTACACAACCAAGTACAGAGTTCCCAACTGACGGGACTGGGCATCTGAATTTTCTTTGGTCATCTCAAAGCTTCTTAATACTTCTGTCAGACCCCTAGCCACCAGGAGAAGACATCTTCAGTCTCACAGCTCATGACTGGAAGTTCTTGATTACTACAAAATACTGGTCAGCAGAGTCGGGAGACACACTTAAGTTCCCCTCTTCCCTCCTGCAGCTGGTAAGTTTCCACAGTGGCAGTAAGCCAGCATTTGTCAGCCTAGCTGAATTCACTACAATTAAGTTTTTGAAGAGTTAACATGGAGTAAACCAAACTTCTGTCAGATTCAAACTATACTTTATGCCTAGGCCTGACTGTGAAGGTGCACATATTATCCCCATCTCCCCTCCCCACCCCCACAGGAATAGGCACAAAGATGAAGCAAAGCTGGAAGTAAAGACAACAAACCTTGTTGCCGAGCACGTCACTTGGTCATGCAGTCTCTGAATGATATTATAGCACTCCACTGTTCCTTTGGACTCCATTTTTATCACAAAACTTAAGAGAGTTCCAGTTTTGTATCTCACAGAATACAAACCAGACTACCCAAAATGTAGAGCCTCATGCAAATACCTAATGCAGAGACACTGCCCCTACACTCTAAGAGTTAAGTCAAGGCAAATCAAAGTACCATAAGCAGTCATAGCCTATCAGCTGATTAGATGAAAGCTTCTACACACAGAGATTATCAGTGACTACCTGTAGCTTTTCAAACATTTCCACTACAAACAAGCCACATGCAACCTAGAAATCACTAGCCTAGGCCATTAACTCTAGGTTGCGTAGGATTCCCAGCAGAGTCTCTGACAGAAGTCGCTGTCTTCCAGTGTATCTCATGAAAATCTCAGTTTAATTTCACTTCAACCAGCCCTTCACCTGACAAACTGCATACTCCCAATTTGCTCACCGAGTGACACAAGGCATAACTCCTCAGGCAACACGGCACAGATAGCACAAGCCACTTGCCCCAAATTCACTCTGCAGAAGTTCACTCTGCCTTTGGACAGAGGTCACCTTTGCCCCAGGAGCACAGCAAACTGCTGCAGGCTAAATCCAGAGCAGAAGACCAGTTACTGCCACCAGCAGCCCTCAGCAGAAGACCTCCAACACGAACCTTCACACCAGGCAGCACTCACCACAGGCACATCCACCCAACCACTTGAGAGGGCAACTGCTCACAGCACCCACACTGTGCGTGTGGGGGCATCGCCCTCCCGGCACTGCCTCCCCCACGGGTGCTCCGAGGCGAGTCAGGGCGCTGCACCCCACCCTTGGGAAAAGGGCGGGAAGGGAGGCGACCTCTCACCTGGAGGAGCACGGCCAGCAGGACGCACAGATACACCTGGTAGGGCCCCATTTGCCCCACCAGCGGGAACGCCTCCTCCACCTCCATCCCGCTCCCCGCCCGCCGCGCAGCTCCTACGAGCGGGCGCCGAGCACGGCATCCCCGGCCCGGGGCGGGGCGCGGAGCAACGGCCTGGCCCTCGCGGAGGAGGAGGAGGAAAGGGCGGGAGGCGCGAGGCGGCGCTCATGCGCAGGCGCCGGGGAGAGCAGCCGGGAAGCGGCCCGCCCCGCGCCGCACGCGCATCC